CAGGACACAAAGCTCAGATTCCCAGGACCCAGCAAAAAGGTCTGCAAACTCACAGCATCTGCATGTTATTGGGAGCGCCTTATCACTGTCTTATAAGTAAGACACACCACACTGAACTTTGTCAGATGTCGGCATTAAATAATAAATAGAGTATCTGGTTTTGAAATCCAAATTTTCCTCTTTCTCAACATTTTCTGCCCAATTATTGTATGACAGCTTTGTTCCCCTAGCAAACAAAATTTGTTAGTCTATGTTATGATTTACACCCTTGGTGGAAGGGCCCTTTATTCCTGTGCATAAAATTTAGATCTTTAAACATGTGAATCAAAGCAACAGCATCTCTGCTAACTCTTAATTTTGCTTGTTCAAATCTTTCCCCTAGAAATCATTCCACACCTGATACATCAAAGAGCTATTATAACATACAGATTTTTACTTCCGAGACTCAGCTCCCATTGAAACCCTTTCACCGTGTTTGAAGTAGTTTACAACATGAACATTAACAGCATCAGCTGGTTTAGAATTGCTTTCCCTTTGGTATGAATTAACGTTAGTGGTTAATGAAAAATTTGAACAAACTCCAATCCAGCACCCTTTGAAAGTCATTTTAATCCTAGAGTCTAGCTGTGGGATATGCCTGCAAGAGACATTTGTGAGATCTACATGCTGAAAACCAAAGCCAGGCTTGTTGGAATATACGCACATCACAGGCTTGAACTGCCCCGAGAGCATGTGTGGTCAAGTCAGCATAGGGTTCTGATCCAAAGCCAGCTACATTCTTATAGGCAGCACTGTTTTCTCTTCTTTCCCTCTGAGGAAGTGCAGAGGGACTCAAGTCTCTACCTGCATGGGCAAGATGCCGATGCATTTTTGGAGCCATGATGGATGGTGGAGGGGTGGGCAGAGGGAGTAGGGGAGAAAGGGGTGGTAAAGACAGTGGCAGCTTGCAATGCCACCCTTTTCTGTTTCTTTCGGAGGATCAAACTCTTGACTTTTCTTGCTGGGTGTGTCCCAAGCTTCTTGCTGAGTCTGGCTATTGAAGATGGGCTAAACTACTGGGTATTCTGTAGTTTAAAGATCAACTGAAAAGGAAACAGATCCTTCTGAACAGCACCTTCTCATTTTCTATGCTTCTGCACTGCCCCCAAAACATATTCCATGTTTTCAGACAGTTTCAGTTTGTTCCAGTGAAGAAGAAATTCAGCCCATTTTCAGCTTCTCCATGAAGCACTAACCAACAGGGCATAACTAAACAAAACCCATGAAATACAGATCGAGAGGCCTGATTTTGGTTGGTGTTTGGCTTTATCCTGTATCCACTCAGGATCTGGGTTCTTTGTGTCCCAAGAAACATAGGTCCGCATTCCTTTCAATTTATAAACACCCCCTTAATACTGGTGGTATAATATTTTACTTGGCGTCCTAAACAGACTTCCACAAATAGCCCAGTATACTCACTCACAGGAAGGTGGTGATGCCACGGAAACGACTTTCTGAATTGTCACTGTATGAGGTCTATACAATAGCTTTAATTTCCCTGCCAATGGCATATCTTACACTTCCAAAATCAGTACCAACCAGAAGGAAAGTGGTAAATTAGGGAAAAGGGGGACACAGGTACCTGGAATAAGCTAACTCTAGAAGCCTGTGAGTAAAGTAAAAATCTGAATTTTAGAGAAGAGGAGAAACGGGCATTATCTTTCCATGCCTTTCTCTTCTCCCTCCACTAAATATAGCATCTGAAATGTAAAAAAAAAAAAAAAAAAAAAAAAAAAAAAAAAAAAAAAAAAAAAAAAAAAACAAAAAAAAAACAAAAAAAAAACAAAACTATTTTAAAGCCTATGGAACCATGCATGTATGTAGTTCAGGAAAGGGACAAGCTGACAGTTCGGAGAAATGTAATGCTGTAGGGGCTTCCTCATGGAATCTGTGATCAGCCTGTATGCACTCTATACAGAAATTTCTTTCTGGATAGAAATGATAATCTGGGGAAGGCTTTTATTTTTGAGTCCAGGGGGGGAAAAATCCCTAAGAAGGTGACAATGATGACCATAAAACCTATACTTATTTCCAACACCATAAGTATATACAGAAAGTATATACTCATTCTGACCTATATAAACATCAGCTTGTTTGTCCGGATGAAAAATACTGATGAAGTTTCCCTTTTGAAATCTGAACACCCTAGATTTCAGGGTAAAAATTTATAGGGTGATTTAAGAACTAAAGCCTTACTCATTTTACTGTAGGATATGTGGCTTCTGGTGGAGTATGAATGACTAGTTGTCAAAGGTGCTGTTTAGCACTTAGGAACTTAAATCCCAAATTATAATTTCCAGAGGTCTTAACCCAGGGTAAGCTTGGGCCAAACATCTATACTTTTAGCAAAGTTTTCCAACATAATAGAGTTTTCAAAACTTAACAGAGTTTTGGTAGCACATGGATGATTTCAAGGAGGAAAGAAGTGAAACCAGACATGTAAAGAAGCAATCAGAAAGAACTGCTTTAAGATTGGAAGAGAATGGCATGCACATACGAGAAACCTCATGATTTGTTCCGCCACATTTAAAAGACTCAAAATCTCAATTCTACCATTTTATCTGGGTGTAAAATATTAAGTTTAGAACTATTCTACTACTTGAATTAGAAATAAAAGATATTTGCTTTAAAAATGTTAGAGTTAATGGGCCCCTATATAAATTCCAGAAAGGTTAGAAACATTTATACCCAAAGACTACAACCAGGTAGAGTGATTTTTCCCCTGTAATAAGCACATAGGCTTGAAATTTAATTTTTTTTTTACGAACACGAGATGGTATAAAATGAATATCTCTAAAATACATTGAAAATATCATTGAAAAATAAAAATTAGAGAGAAATAAGCTCTCAATTCACGAAAATAAGATAGACGCAAACCTTCCATTATGTTTTCACTTTAAGGAGTCCTGAGCTGTTAAATGTTTTGCTTTTCTAGATTATACCTCCCAAACTCTCTTCCTACATTGGAATTTCTGGAGCTTGCATTTCTTGCCTTCTTTTTCCATCTTTTTTTGAAGTCAGCACTTTTTCCTTCACATCCACTATGGAGAACTACAGTATAGTCATTTCGGTTGATCATAGCTCATTCTGTTATGTGCTCTCCAACTGCCTGAATCCTATTTTTTAAACGTGGAGGGAAAATATGCCTTATACAGAAATAATTCATTCACTGAAATAATCCATTGGCCGGTTGAAGTAGGAGTGACAGAGGCAGACTCCTCCTGGGAAGCAACCTCGGCCAGCTTCCAAGACACACAGCTTTCACTCTCTCCGCCTCCACTATTACCCGTGTCAACTACGACCTCCATCACTACCAAGGAATTATTCTAACTCCTCTATTTTCCTTTCTATACATGGTCTTTTATAGTCATTAAGATAATTTTTAAAACTATTTTCCAGATGTTCAGAATGTTATTGAGGAAAGCCCCTAGTGACATAATTACAAGATGGTACAGTAATCTGGCAACTTCCTATTCTTCTCTCACTGTTTTCTCCATAAATTATAAGCAAAAATGGCAACCTGAGTTTAAACCTCTGTGCAGAGTATTGGGTGCAAAGTAGGTATTCGGCAAATACCTATTCAACTCTGTTCAAATCCCTTACATATACACCCATAACCCACCGTTACACGGGTTATTAGCGGATGACTATTAAGCTTTGTGGAATCAACTAAAAAGGAATATAAAAGCTATCTAGATTCCCTCTTTTAACCAAAACATCACTGAATTTTAGTAAAACGTCATGTGTGCATTTTTTAAATTTATCATCTCTGTGCTTACTGTTAAATTCTAATACTCTTTATAAAGTTGTTCTTGAGAGAAAAGGCTGCCTTAAACCATACTTAATTCCAATAAATTCCACCCTTTATCTTGAAACTCATCATTTGACCAGAACTGGAAGAGGTCCATCCTGAAAATAACTTGCATTTAAAACAGGTAAATTGTTGTTATATGGAAACCAATTTGACAATAAATTTCATATTAAAAAAATAATAATAAAAAATAAAACAGGTAAATTGTTATACTCCTGTAGAGTCTGTGATCTGAATACAATTCTAGGTCTCTGTAATTAAAGCAGCAATTGGCATTTGGCTATAACCAAGGGCAAGAGGGAAACAGAGAAAAAGAGAAGCATCTTTCATCATCGTTGTTTTGTGGTACACTTTACCCATGCTTTTAAAATATAAGTGAAATTCAATCTTCAAAATGAAAAAATAGACACATTTTCTAATAGCAAAATATAAGATTAAAAATACCTAAAAATAAAATGTTAGTGTGAAATAGGGTTTTTTTACATTAAAAAATGAAACATTTTAGATTTGCCTTTCTTATATAAATCCTCTTATCTTATTAACAGTTACAACTTTCCAGAATAGCTTTTATGAGACACTGAAGGAGACAGGCAGGAAATCCTTTTTCAAGATATGACATCAGGACCTGAATATATACATTGGACAGAGCATTCCTCAACCTCAAATCCATCCAGCAGCACTAGAAAAAGGAATGCTGTATTTCCAACCTTGAGATTTTTCATTACATTTTCTTCTTTTTGGATGTTAAATTCTTTCCAAGAATATTCTACTTTAAAAATGATTTTATTCTAGCTATAAAACATTTCATTTAAGAAAACCACACGTTGTAGCCTTATGTGAAATGTCCCCAAAAGCCATCAAGATATGGAGACATCGCATTTTCAAAACATAAATCTAATCATAGGCCCTGAAATAGTATGACTATTTAAACAGAGTGATGTTATATTCTCATATTTGCTTGTCATGAGATGAAAGGCCAGGAGGCATATGGTGATTAATAATAGTTCCTGAGCTTCTAAAGAAATTATACAACAAAATGACTAACTGCTTAAAAGAATGAGTTCTTCAAGAGCGCCCCTTCTGTTCCATTGATGTCTTTCATCCCATCTATCTCCTTAAAGAATCTCAGGGCCAAAGAAAAGGCTTTCTTTTAAGCCACTGAAAAATGGGATCTGATGGAATCTTCCCGTAACTCTCGATGTTTTCCAACATTACTTTCTTCTTGCTGGCTTCTCCTCTCAATGGTTATTCTGTATTTCTTCCTGGGTAAAGGGAAAGTGAATGCAGTAATAAAACCTCAGTTGGCTACAAAATACTATGGTTTCTCTTACAAAGAATGCCCTCAAGGGACATCTGGGTTTGGGTTGATAAATGAGAAGTGACAGAGTATGAAACCCTGGTCAGAGATTAAAGCTGTGTGCCCCAAGGCATTATGCACTTCTTCAAGGAGGAAAACTGCCATGCTTTCTGAAATGCCATAGAACAAACCTCCCCCTTTTTCCCTGGGTGCCTTGTGGGTTAAGTCTTGTCTGTTCTGCCACAGAAGCTCTCCCTAACCCCCAGGATGTGCCCTAGATAAAGATCAGACTAAGTATACTGTGACCAAAGGAACAGGAATACAATTGTTCCCACAAAGAATCACATACACCCAGAGTTAAATTTCCATACAGAAATGAAGAAATCTTGGTCTAATGACATGAGAATGAGCCACAAACTCAATCACCAAAGATTACAAAGGAATGAATCGCCCTCATCATTTGGGACTATCAGTATCTTGAACACACATAAATATTACAAGTTTACAAGCTTTGGGGCTTAACCACAGTGATAATTAAGCACATGGATTCTCCAAACTGAGCACACACCAGCCTGAGAGTGTAGATTAAGGGCCACCTCCTCCTCTTCAGAAGGTGAACTCAGACACCTATTTCTGAATTGGAGGAAGCTTAAGAATAGGGAAGTTGTTTCTCCTTTGTCTACATTCCCTCTCTACTTACACATTTGGTGGGTAGTAGGAATTTGTGCCAGAATATTTGTGATCAAAGGATAGCAGTGGCTCTGTGGCCGACAGGGGGATGCAACAGAAAGCCTGACCCGCTACCCAGTATGCTAACCCACTGACCACCAAACCACCAGGGTCACAAAGACCATCACAGAAGAACAGCTTAGTTCTTTTAACCACCATGCTTTGGGGGTAAGAGCAAGATATAGACAAGTCATACGGAGGACTGTGCAAAGGCAAGTGACAAGGGCAATAAAGGAGAGTGAATCTTAAAACTTGATAAAAACAGTTCTCACCTGAAAAAGTAGAAGGCCATTAACAAACCAGCTCCTAGTAAGGCCCCCACAACAATTCCTGTCACTGCCGATTCTTCTAGACCACCTGCTTAAAAAAGAAACATAGATAATCAGAGTTCATTTTGAGAAACAGAAATGTCTCAAGTTTCATTCACTGGAAGGTGTATCTCAATTTCCCACTTGAGGCAAATTTTCCCTTTTTTTAAGAAAGATTTTCTAGGGGATCCTGCACCTTCATTTGTTTGCTAAGCTCAGAGCTTCAGAAGCATTTAAGAAAGGACCAGATGGACGAACATACCACTCGAAGAGAGTGAGAACAATGAGAAAAAGCAGGTTCCAAAAGTATCTGAGGAGCACAAGGACTGAAGTTTTAGACACATCCACACTGAGTTCATAGTCAGAGAAGACAACTGGACAGACCATGGGACTGACCCAGCACATCTTACTTTCACAGATGGATGATGACACTTCAAAGTGCTAGAAGATTTGGTGAAAAATGCACTGGGTTAATATTCTGTTTTTAGATGTTCTCTCACCAGAGCCAGAGTTTCATGTCAAAATGTCCTATATAGCTTTGCAAAGATGGGAATAACAACTTGAAACAATCAAATTCAGTAGTGTCCCAGTTATTATATAAACATGACAAAAAGCTAGCTTTATATAAACAGTATAGTGTCAGCCTTTAATGCATTATCTCATTTAATCCTCTGAACAGCTCTAAGAGTTGGGCGCATTTTTTTCATTTTACATATGGGAACACTGAGGTTTAAAGAGGTAAAGGAATATTCCTAGGGTCACAAAACCAGTAAGTGACAAGGGTGGGATTTCAAACCCATGTCCAGTAACTCCAGAGAATGTTCTTAACACACTTCTGCCCTACTCCTCCCCGTAATTATTGCATATACATAAATAACATGGTTTGAAGGCTGGACCCAAAATAATAAGCATAAATACATTAGCCTAAAGTGACCAACTGGCCTGAAAGATCAATATTCACTTGGTTCTCCCTCACTAGCTTATCAAAGGGTCTCTCTAAAGCAATGATTTCCGGGGCGCCTGGGTGGCGCAGTCGGTTAAGCGTCCGACTTCAGCCAGGTCACGATCTCGCGGTCCGTGAGTTCGAGCCCCGCGTCAGGCTCTGGGCTGATGGCTCAGAGCCTGGAGCCTGTTTCCGATTCTGTGTCTCCCTCTCTCTCTGCCTCTCCCCCGTTCATGCTCTGTCTCTCTCTGTCGCAAAAATAAATAAACGTTGAAAAAAAAATTAAAAAAAAAAATAAAGCAATGATTTCCAACAGTCTCCTATTTGTAAGCTCCTTATAAGAATGTCCACTTGTGGGGCGCCTGGGTGGCTCAGTCCATTAACCGGTTTATTCTCAGCTCAGGGTCATGATCTCTCACATTTCATGAGTTTAGTTCTTCCTGCAGGATCGGCTCTCAGCTGGAGAAGCTCAGAGCCGAGCCTGCTTTGGATTCTGTGTCTCCCCCTCTCTCTGCCCCTCCCCTGCTTGTGCTCTCTGTCTCTCAAAAAATGAATAAATGTTAAAAAATTAAAAAAAAAAAAAAGAATAAATGTTAAAAAATTAAAAAAAAAAAAGAATGTCCATTTGCTGGGGCACCTGGGTGGCTCAGTCAGTTAAGCATCTGACTTTGGTTCAGGTCATGATTCATGGGTTCAAGCCCCACATCAGGCTCTGTGCTCTGTGTCTCCTTCTCTCTCTGCCCTTCACCCACTTGTGCTCTCTCTCTCTCTCTCAAAAATAAATAAACACTAAAAAATTTTAATTAAAAATAAAAGCATGTCCACTTGCTTCTATCTTTATGACAAGGCTTCTCATGAATAATATATTTTACACTTATTTGCTAATTTGTAAATTTGGGAGTGTTTAAGTCTGAGGGGTAGGAAGGTACCAACAAACTCTGAAGATCAGACTGAGACTTGCTACACATTTACTATTTGATCTTTTTATTTTCCCCAACTAGCAAGGCCAGATGCTAAGAGATTATACATAGTAAGAGATGGAGTAATAGGGAGAAGTCATCTAGCATTTTGGGAAAAGATGAAAGAGAAGAAAGACCTAGAAACCTCTGGTGAAGGTGGGGTGCCAGTTCGTGAACTGTTCCCCTGGGTTTTACCACATCGGAAAAAGAAAGCTGAACGTTCAGAACATGAGCTCCTAGAGAACATCTGTCTTTTAAACTTGCATAACACTGACATTAAAGATGGTGAAACACAGCACAAGTTAAGTCTCTAAACTTACATGATTTGCAAGGAGAGCTGTTTGTGTGCTCCACGATTCTGGTTTCATCTATTCTCAGTTTTAAAGGTCCCCAAGGATATTTGACATTCGGCCGCATTTCAAAACGACCTTCTTTTCCAAAGTAATCACCGATAACCTACGTAAAAGCAGAAAACATGCAAACTGAAAGGTCGAAGTTATCTGTTTCCAAAGGAGGCATAGGGTGGGCTCCCCTGTGACACTGACTATAATGATGTGTTTTTGTGGACTTTGTAAGTCAGGATTTGTGGTCACTGATGGTGCTTTCAAAGGAGGCATAATTGAAGGAGAACTGTGGCTCCCCATGGCAGGAAAGTGGTTACACAGAAAACAATAATCTTGGAACTCATGGCTCTTCCCTCGCTCATCCGAGGAGGTGCTGCTTGACCCGTCTGCCACAGAGCAGCCCACACACAGGCAGCCCTTTGTAAGGCCCCAGTTACTTTTAGGGATGTGGGAGAGAGTCAGGCATCTCATACCCAGATTAAGCCAGTCCAGGTACACAGCCTCATACCACTCAATTAGCTGGGCACATAAAGGGTCAAAAGTATCTTTTAGGAACATCCTGTTTCACCCTCCTCTGTTTGGAAGATTATTCCCTGATTTCGAGAGTTACATTCTCCTCTCTGCTGAATTTATCCCATTTGCACCCCATTTCCAGACAACTTTTTTTTCACTTGGTTCAGTTTTCTTTGATGCTCACTTCAAGGTTCACCCACGGTTCCTGGTTCAAACAGATGTTCCATCAGCTACCTGGGCCCTGACCTAGAAGTACCTTCCCACCCAGGTTCTCAGGATCTGTTTCTCTTTTTTTCCTGGGCACCAGCACACTGCTCCTGAGTGGCCTGTGACATCTCCCCCTCTGTCTTCTGAAGGAGGGCCAGCAAGCTCTCACAGGCTAGCTCATGTCATAGTAAAAAGAATTCTAGATAATCACCAAAATACAACAATCACTGGCATGTACGGAGCATGTCCCAAGTACTTTAACCTCACAGCGAGCCCATAATAGACTATTACTATCCTCCCCTTAGAGAGGGAGAGACTAGAATGCACATGAGACTCAGGCCACTCCAAGGGTGAAAAATCATTCAGTACATGCAGCAAGTGTCAGGTCCAGCTGGCTCTGCTCCTCCCACAAAGGCCACATATATGTGTACTAAGAGAAAAGCAGCAAGCCCTTTAGGCCAGGGTCACATCAAGTGCTATGGAAACATCAACCCTGGATGAGAGCCATCAAAGAAGCACATTTGGCCACTGGAAACAGGATTTCCCCACTCAGGATAAACATGGAACCATTTCTTGAAATCTTCCAGGATCCCCTCAACCAGAAGGGAGCCCTCTCTACTTGGAAACTCCTAGATTTCCAGCTCATTTTTATTTGGAGGCTGCTCTGGGGACAGCTATTTGGACACCAGAACAAATGCATTCCTTGGAACCTCAACAAGCAGAAGGAGCGGCCGAGGCAGAGTCTCATTCGCTCACCTCCTGGGTGCCCGCCTCTGGGTCTGTCATTGCAATCACAGAGAAGTCCCCGTACCGGTCTCCATTGGCATCTATGGACACCTGCCCGGCAATACCTAGAGGATGAGACGGGAAGAACTCCAAGTTAGTGACTTCAAAGGCCTCTGTCTGCCAACAAAAACAAGAAAATGAATTGACAGGATTTTTTAAACAAACTCATGCCACAGGGAAGCTCATCAGACTCTGAGCATTTTTGTTGGCATTTGGAAAGACATTGTAATTTCATCTGTGTCTGCATTCCTAAATTCTTAACATTTCTCCATTTAAAAATGAAAAGAAAAAGAAATAAATGACCCTCTTTGGGGAATATGTTTAGAAAAAAAAAAAGATTAAGGCTAATCCTGAAAGCAGCATGCTTATCCCAGAGTCTTGTATGAATTAAAAACAAACAAAAACTGCAAAGAGAGAGAGGCTGGAGGTGTGGTGCACTCCTAGACCTGTCATGAGTTCGTGTTATCACTGGCCAAACATTACAGAAGTCATTCCAGGCCCAGGACTCAGTGAATGTGCATCACTATAGGCACACTCAATGTACAGGAGAGCAGAGGGCCTGCTTCACAGGCCATGGGAGCCAAGAGCTAAAGAAGAGCTAGTCTTCACCCTACTTGTGTTCATTAATTCATTTTTATTGTGTTTTGTTTTGGGGGTGTTTTCCCAGTTTTATTGAGCTATAATTGACATACCTCACTGTATGAGTTTCAAGCATCCAGCATAAAGGTCTGACTTGGGTATATTGTGAAATGATCACTACAGTAAGTTTAGTTGACATCTGTCATCTCATATAGATACATGAAGTCACTCGTTGTTTATCCACATGAGTTCTGGGTCGTTACTAGGTGCTGAACTGGACACATTCCCCACTCAAGACAGGGGCAGCCTGGACTAAGGATTTCACTTGTTCGCACTGGAATCTGACTGCATGTATTTTAATCCTAGCTTTCACATTTACTAGCTCTGTGACCCTGGGCAAGGACTTAGCCCTCTGGGTCTCCACCTTCATGACTGTAAAAGAGGTACACTAGTACCTCTCAGCCAAGAGACTGTTGAGAAGATTAAATGAGCTACAACAGGTAAAACACTTCCACCACAAGTATAAAAGAAGTTAGTTGTTTTCTTCTACTGTTAGTGTGCCTGGAATACCACCACTACTGTGCCCGGAATCTGGGAGAGGGCATCTGACCATGCCCACACCACTCAGAAAAGGAGCTGGCACATCCAGTTGGAGACTCAAGGAGGATTCAGTAAAAGAGCAGATCTTTCATAGGAATACTAGTAAAATCCATGATTTAGACAAGCAGCCATCAGGAAGTAGCAGTATTCTAAGCAGAAAGGCCAGCCTTGTTCATATTTACAAAGTCATGGAAGCTGAAAGGAACCAGAGGGACTGTGACATTCTGGGGTAGGTGGCCCATGCGTGTGGAAGGAAGCAGTGAGACGTAAGGCTGACATAGGATGGCCAGAGCATGGAAAGCCTGAGTGCCCACACAAAGGATTTCAATTTGCTTTGGCTAGCAACAGTGGCTTAGACAGCTAATCAGTAAAAGAGAATATGTATCATTAGTTGATATTAAATGTCTATACTGTAATTTTCATTAACTAAGCAAGAGAATGCATAGGTCAGCCACATTCTAATTAACTAAGGCAATTTGTTTTCTTTCATTTTAAACTGTGTTAAAGTTCAGTGTAATTCTTAGTGTTTCTATTGATTTGATTCTCTCTGGAAGTAAAATGAATGTCTGGGAAAAGGGATCCCAAGGGAAAGTTCCATCCTCTAGTGTGGTTTGGAGAGGGCAAGTATTTGGGTTTACTGTCCTTTTGGTTATGGTTTGAGGGCCCACTGATTTTTCCAGACTTCAGTCTACTTTGCCGCAAACAGAATGGAGCTACCATTCATCTTGATTTTTTTGTCTTTCTAATATATGCCGGTTACAGAGGATACACCTATCTTAAACTTGTTTATTCTTGACAGCCTATACAACGTTTAAGTTACATATGTCATTTTTAAACATCATATTTATCGTGGGGCACCTGGGTGGCTCACTCACTCAAGCATCCGACTTCAGCTCGGTCATGATCCCGCAGTTCATGGGCTCAAGCCCGAAATCAGGCTCTGTGCTGACAGCTTGGAGCCTGGAGCCTGCTTCAGATTCTGTGTCTCCCTCTGTCTCTGCCCCTCTCCTGCTCGTGCTCAGTCTCTCTCTCTCTCAAATGTAAATAAACATTTTTTAAAATCTTTTGAAAACATCATATTTATCTCCAAACATATTGTCTATCCAAAACCATTTGTTATCCTGTTCAGAGGTGTTTATAAAGAAAGATGTGTTCTGCTAAGGGTTTTGTAGAGTATTTTATAAGACAAGGTGGCCCTAGTAATCCAAGACCTCATTACACTTTAAGCTATTACAATTCTGCCAAGAAATGGGGTGAGAACCCTCAGGGTGGCCAATTAGCAAGTGAGACTTCACCTAAGAGTATTGTGTATAAGGTGAGATTGTCAAGCTGACAGCAGAATTTTCCTGTACATAAGTAATGAGACTTTCCACCCTCATTTCCATTGGCCTGTAGTGGACTTCAAGGTTTGAGCCACAGTCCTATTTACCTTGTCACTCTGACCTCTCCCACAGAGAGGAAATTCAGCTTCTTCCCAGGCCATTTATTGAGAGCCTTGAAAGACGGTCATTGGTTTCACAGTAATAAAATCCAAATTTGTCAAATAACATCCAGAGTATTTTTCCCTTAACAATTTAATGGTCACTTACAGAATGACCATTTCTCAGAGTTCTTTTGGGAGCTATCCTCAGACTGATCATTGTTTAGCAAATAAAATGGGCTTTCCAAATAATTCAAGCCCAAAACTTACATTGGCTTCAATTATCTTTATATCTGGACAAATAAGAGTCTAAGTTTAGACTCGACTATATAGTTGATTGTTTTAGGACTCATTTCATATTGTCTGTGTTGACCTGGCCCTAGAATGGAAGCATCAGGATGACCTATGGGAAAATTTAGTCCATGCCCTCTATACAATGCTGAATTCCAGCCCTTGTGGGCACCTGCCCTTCCCTTAACAACCTCCTTCAGAAGAACAAGAACAAATGACCACACCATGTAGTAAGGAACAGCTAAAAATGGGATGTGGCCTACCAAGGTTGTGTCCACACACATACTAGTTTCTCAGTGTATTGGGCACAACTTCTGGGAAATCTGACTCTGTCCTAATATGCCCCCTGAATTATCTGATTGGATTCCAGCTCCTCAACTGAAGCAGTCACAAGTTGAGCAAGACAATCCTGGAGGCTTATTTGTTTGTCATGTCCTACAATCTGTCTAAACTTAACGTAGATGCTACTCTAGTGTCAAGTAAGACGTGACATTCACTAAAACGACCACAGAGAAACTAAAGCCAATTGTCATCATATTTGCTGCCCAGACAACTGGAACTTGACCTCTCAGCACTGTCCTACCATTCCTAATAAACGAGGGCAGGATGAGGTAATGGAGTGCATTGAAGTCCCAAATGAATATGTGTGTGTGTGTGTGTATGTGTGAGCGTGCGCGCTCCAAATCTAGACTTGGCAGTACTTGTTCCCATCACTGAAAAATTTCATTAATTGAATTGCAAATAGATGTAAGCATAGCCCAGTGTATGAAAGGGCTCACATGAAGAGTTAGTGTGATGTAGGACTGAAAGGGCTCTTGTCGGTCATCAGCTAGTCCAACTCCTTCATACAGGGGATGACAGAGAAGCCCAAAATACTGTGACAGTGGCTAGGATGCAGGTTCCCTGAACTCCTGGTCCAGCAATCTGTACTCCATATCAGTGGTTTTTAAATGATACCCATCAGTATACTATACTTTATTTTCCACATAGTCCCCGTAAGGACTCCTTTTAAAGACTTCAGAAAGATCATGTCCCTCAAAACTTTCTGGTGGCTTTCTATCTCACTCTGGGTGCAAACTAAAGTCACCAGCACAGCTTCCAGATGCATGTGATTTGTCCCCCACTCCCTCTCTGACTGTGGCTCCTATCACACTGCCCTTCACGTGCTGTGCTTGAGCCCAACAGGCCTCTTTGCTCTTCAGGGGGGCCACTCAGCACTCTCTCACCAGATACACTCAAGGTCTCTGTGTTCACTGCTCTGTCTGGAATGTTCCCTCCTAAACATCTACATAATTTCTTTCACTTTACTCAGGTCTCTACTCAACTTCAACGTACCAGAGACCTTCCCCAGCCACTCTCTTTAAATTAGCAGTCCTCCCACCACCCCCTCCTGTCACTGTCTATCTCCCTACCCTGCTTTATTTTATTGCCCCTGAAATGGTGTATTTGTTTGTTTATCACCAGTTCCCTCCACTACCTGGAAAGCTCAACTGATTGCAGGGAGGGTCTTTAGCTCACTGCTGAATCCTCAGCACTTTGAACAGTGCCTAGCATATAGCAGGTGCTCAAGAATATTTGATGAATGAATGGATGCATGAATATAAAATTGACATCTGCAAGGCTCCAGCAGCTGGGTCATTCTCATTGAGTCCCATGTTAATCTTCTTTGAGACTATCAGTGAAGTGAAAGGAAACCAGAATTCTATACACTATTAGCAAGAATTCAGACCAGGAGACCTTTTGGGAAGATATTTGGCAATATTTAATGCACCTTAAAAGGCACTAACATACTTTTGGACCCAGATATCTCATGACTAGAAATATTCCCCATTGGATGTACTCACAAAAATTCATCAAGATGTGTAAGATGCTTGAGATAGCATTTTGAATAACAGCAAAAACTGTAAACAACTGAAGTATCCGTCAATAGGAAACTGATTAAAGAAATCCTTGTACAACCATATCGTAGAAAAATATAGAACCATCATTTTAAACTGTGCTGAATCTATGAGTGCTCATATGGAAAAATTTTTTACTTGACATACAAGTTTTAAAAAAAGATGAGATGGAAGAGTGACATTCATTGCACGGTTCCTTTTGTATAAATTTTTTTGATAAGATATATAAATGCATATGTGCTGGCAGAAGGCACAAAATATTTTTAGACTAAATCATAGGAAATTGTTAATAGTGGTTACATTAGGGAGAGGAGACTAGGGTGGGAAGGAAAACTTTCACTTTTCATTTTGTACATTTTTGTACTGTTTAAATTTTCCAGCCAAGAATAGTCTCATTCTTGTACAATTTTTAAATGTCAACAGAGGTTGCTTGAGTGATGAGATTATGGGCCATTTTTTTGCTGTGGTTCATATACTTCTCTGTTCTAAAGAAAGCCACAGCTGATATTCACCATTTTAGAAATAAAATAAAAACAGAGGGCTTGATTAGACTTGCTTATAATCTCAAACTACCCATGATTAAATTGATGAATGTGTATCTGGGATTATTTCATTTAAAACTGATCACAGAACTCTTCACAAACTAATTATTTGTTGTGGATAAGGCTTGTGACAAATTTAATTTGAAGAAGCATACAGTTGTTATCTAACAATCAAAAGGAGACAAGGTACTTCCTGTTTCAGTGGGATTCTTTCAAAGCACTTTCACAAGCTTTATCTCATTTAATTTTCACAACAAGCCTGTGAGGTAGTTTGAACTTGACATATTATCCTTACTTTACAGCTGAGGAAAACAGGAAACTGACAAAATCCCATAGGTGTAAGAAAGAAAAACAGAACCAGGGAAGAAGCAGCTTGATCATCTACAGAGTGTTGTCATCTTATAGACTAAATCCTCACCTTCAAATGTTCTGTTCCAAGTCTGTTGGATAATTTTCCCTCCATCCTTCTTGCTGTAACCAGCTCTGAGTACTTCATGTAAAGCCAGAACATAGAGGAGGATGGCATCGTGGAATCCTTCAACAAACATGTTAACCTGAAAAGGAAACCCCAGTTGGGTGAGCCCAAACACCAATGACTCAACGTTCATGAATAATGTAAGCAAATCAAATGGTTAACAAGTTAGACTCAAGGTTCACAAGCAATGGCAGAGATGGGCAAAGTGTAGCCAACAAGAATCATGCCATGATTTTCCTGGTACTGGCTTAGTGAGGAAAATCCTTCCCACGTTTAGGAATTTGGAGAGCAGACAAGATATTACACAAGTCAAGGAAATTGTACCTGTTGAGGAGGTTACGTATTCCAGGTGCATCACACTTGCCCATAGTTCCCTCTATACGGGTGCCTTCTTTCTTCCTCACATCTACTCTCTACCTCAAGCCAGCCTAAGTCCAACCTCCCCCTTTAGGTTTTCATCTCCATCAGTCACCATGATCTCTCCATGCTCTGAATATAAAACTGACTAAAAGAACAGTAGGGATTCACTCATTCATGTTTGGATACTATTGAAAGCCTACTCTAGTGCTGGTGTTAAGGATTCAAAGAGGAGTGCTATTCCTACCTGCCTGGCATCTGTGGGCACTGCCATTCCTACCTGCCTGGCATCTGTGTCCTCTCTTCCATCAGCAATGGCATCTCAGTTTCTCTTTCCAGTTTGTGTTTGTACTGGTTCCTGTGGATCTGACCATCTCTACTCACCCTCTGGACTACCCCTCCCCACCCCAAGTTCTAAGGACAGGAATGGAAATATGCTGGGCCATTGGTTTATCCCAGCCAGGTCCTGGCTTAAGTAAGATAGCCCTTCCCCTCAAGAAACTTAAGCTCCATGTGAATTTGGGGAAGTCATTTAATTTCTTTGAGCATTGTTTCATTCAATAAGCATCATTTGAAAGTTCAGATACCATATTTAAACCCATTGAACATGAAATGAGAAAATACAATCTTGAAATTTAGTAGCTTACAAATTCTGTATAAAAGTACAAAAAAAAAAAAAAAAAAAAAACACCACACACGCACAAAAGCAAGTCTTTTTATTTCAGGAGAAATTGTCAAGAATGGAATGCCGTGGAGCAGAATGAATTTGGCATTCCACAGATGACCACCATAAGTCTTTGTGAGGAGGCATTCTATGCCTCATTCCTAGAAAAGGTTCCCATAGGAAGAGAGCCACAACTGACCTGCATCACCTAGTTCAAATACACAAACATCCATAGAAAACACAGCTCAATGTCCAGTGCTACTTGGCCTCATCTCATCCTTAAGGATGGTGAGTCCTGTTTTTTGTCATAGAAGCAAATGTTTTGCATTTGCCAAAGTCCAGTGCTGAGAGGCTGTTTACAATAATGGCTAGAGCCTGGGCTCACTACTCAGAGCTGCCACTTCCTGGATGTGTTTCTCCACAACTCTGGGCCTCAGTTTTCCATATCTGGAAAATGAGGAAAATAGTAGTACTTATCTCGTGGGGTTGCTCTTAGGTTTAAATGAACTAATAGATGTAAAAGACTTCCAACAGTGCCTAACGGAGTTGGCACTCACTGTTGGGTTTTATTGTTGTTATTGTCTACATATAGAGAATTATAAACCTAGGGATCCTGCTTAGCCTTTAATTCCTAACAGCAGTATTCAGAAAATAAGCATTCTACTTATGGTATAACATATCTTATGGACCCATTTTACACTTAATGGAAACTAAGACTCCTTGTTCATGCTTTAACATGCCAAGCAGTGTTCTTACTTCCAGAATGTCACACCCTTAATTCTGCCCAAGCATAAGGTGTGCAGCCCGCACTGGTCAGTTCCACGGACCATCTGGGAGAAGAGAGGTGTCTGATCGCAGAAAAGCTCAGAATTAGTTGCAGGGCCCAAAGTCTAATCCCAGCCCTGACACATTACTTAATCTCCCTAATCTTAAATTTCCTCACTGGCTGAATGGGGGTTTAGTGCCTGCTCATCCCACAGAGCTCTTCAGGGAACTGAATTAGTGATTGCATATAAAACACCAGAAACAGTTTCTGGGACTAAGAAAGCAAATGGTAGACATTGGCTTTCACTCTTAACCATCAGCTTAAGTCTCAGAGAGTCATTATTTTCTTAGGCAAAGAAGAATGATGTACAAATAACATCTAGTCAAAGATGATTTTCTGCTGATTTGGCTAGGCTAATTCAATTTTCCAAAGGAATATGAAATTTTCACTTAAGCCATGAAGTCATCATGGCTTAAGAAAGTGTGCATGCTGATGAGTTAATGAATTTTAATAAGTGGACTTTAGGGGCACCTGGGTGACTCAATCAGTTAAGCGTCCTACTCTTGATTTTGGCTCCATTCTCACAGTTCATGAGATTAAGTCCTGAATTGGGCTCTGCACGGACAGCATGGAGCCTGCTTGGGATTTCCTCTCCCTCTCTCTCTGCCCCTCCCCTGCTTGCACTCTCTTTCTCATAATAAATAAATAAACTTAAAAATTAACATAGTGGTCTTTAGCTGTGTAATTTCTTAGGCCATGGTAAAAACATTTTTCAAAAAAATCTATCTTCCCTAGGATAATTATATAAAACTCATCCTGCTACACAGGGAAGTCATACAGCCCTGGACTATGGGAAATATAAAGTGGCTCAGAAAAACTCTGGTCTAATCCTCTCAGTACTCTGAGAACCAAAAGAGCATCACTCCCCATTAGTCTTTCTGCACTAATTGAAGGTTTTCCCTCTCCTTGTTCCTGGGGAGCCTAGTCTGAGCCCTGTTAAATTGCAAAGTACCAGCCACTGGGTATCAGCTCTCCACTTATCTTCCTCCCCCTCCTGATTCCTGCTCAAAACCTAGGGCCACCATGCTGACATTGGGCACCCAAAGCACTGGACATGCGCCCCAGCATCAACCACCTTCTGGCCCCTCCTCTTCCTTCCTTCTTGCTGTGCCCTCTAAATTGCCCCTTCTACAATTGCAGATTATCTGGCTGAGAAACATGAATTTGGATTACCCTTTTCCTAACAGGTTTGATGGTAGAAGAGAATAGATAGGTTCTGAACACATGGCCAGGTCTGAAAACTCATTCTATCTTGATTTGCAAATGGATCGCAAAATTTACCTTCTTTCCTCTCAAAGTGGCTGAGTGTTTCCCTCTCCTGCCAAAATTAGCAGGAGAGCTGCTGACCTGCGCCGAGGCTCACTGGCACCCTGGGCTGCTGCGGAGGAGGTTTCATAACACCTACCTCATAGGACTTCAAGCCAGAAGCAAAACCCCAGAGACCGTCTTTTCTCGAGGAGAACATTCTCACATCCACATGTGTTTTTTAATGGGAGGAAAGCCCATCAGCACATTATAGACACTAAAAATCACAAGTGCAAACATTTTTTTTAATGAGGAAGAAAAAGAGCCAGAGTATTAAGTTGCCTTTGAAACATTTGTCACTCGACCTCCAGGCTGAAAGGAACAAGATCATCTGCTCTGTCCCCCTGCCTGTGGTCATAACAAAATTTGAACCTCGAAATCCATGATCCAGACAGATCATGCTATAGTTACTAATCAAAGAAAATAGGATACCCTTACCTGAGTATTCCAGTATTTAGCATCATTTCTAGCCAAAAAGCTCTTCCGTACCGTCATTAAGCATAAGTCTTAATTAAATTCCTAAATGCAGCCATTCCCCTGCTAGATACCGAACAGAGTTAAGAGAACAATGTAGTTCTTGAGGCGCCTGGGTGGCTCAGTTGGTTAGGTGACTGACTTTGGCTCAGGTCATGATCTTCCAGTTTGTGAGTTTGAGCCCCGCATCGGGCTCTGTGCTGACAGCTCAGAGTCTGGGGCGTGCTTCAGATTCTGTGTCTCCCCCTCTCTCTACCCCTCCCCTGCTCATGCTCTGTGTCTCTTTCTCAATAATAAGTGTTAAAAAAAATTTTTTTAAAGAGAGAACAATGTAGTTCTTGAGCCCTGGGAGTTTACAATCTCAACCAAATGGCCCCACAGTTCCACAAAACACATAGATGAACTCCATACTAGAAAGTTATGAAGCAGAAAGTTATGAAGCAATGAGGGACAAGAGTCAGAGTAATAATTATTTGTGCTGGGTATCATCAAATAAAGTATCTATCATTAAACAAGATGGAAGTCGTTCATCATCTTCATCATCAACTCACTCTGGGAAGTTTTCCAAAACAAGGTAGCATGCTGGCACTAACTCTCTCATCATTTCATCTCCATCCTCCTGATCTTGCCCTTTTAGTTGGCCAGCATCAGATATTCCAAATGAAAGAAAGCCATTTTGCCACTGGCCTTCCTCTCTGATAGTGCCTGTCAGCCATGTCCATTAGTGTTTTTTAATTTTTTTTTAATCCTCTATCATGGGGAAAGCTGAATAGAAATCTTGTTATATTTTAACTGAGCATATAGAGTTGCCATTCATAACATGGCTCTTATCTGTGACAGTGAGCAAAGTCTTTCTTATTTCTCTTTGGAGGGGCAAGTTGCTAGATTGATAGATGAATTCTTCAATGCCTGAGTTCCAAACAAGTAAGCAAAGTATGCTGCATGCCTCAGCTGTTCTGTAAAGTGAGAATGAGTAACACAGCAGTAATCTAGCTCCTGGGATGTCTGGATATCTGAGAAAGACTCTAAAGCTCTCAGACCGAGGCTACTGGGAGAAAGCTACCAAAGTTAAATGCTAAGGCTAGGCTGCCCTGGGATTTTGCTTGTGGTATCCACATAACTCAAGCATATCACACAGTGGTTCTATCTTCCTTGCCACAAACCAATGGTTCGTAATGCAAATGAGGAAAGCTGAGGGTGTTGGGCAACATTTCTCAAAAGTCTTTTGAAAAAGACATGACCCTTAACCTCTCACTCAGTTGAAGGGGAGATGGAGGAAAGGGAAATTTTGATGGCTTTCTGAAAAGGTAAGAAGAGAGACGGGTCCAGGACACCCAGAGACGGGTCCATCATAGCAGGAACAATGGCAACTTGTCTAATTAGTAATAAGACCCTCAAATGAAACTTATCCAGCTGGGCCCCTGTTGATCATGGACAGGGGAAAGAAATTGCC